CCAACCCCCCCCCTGGGTTCGAATCCCAATGAAGACATGGATGTTTGTAAATGTATAGTGTCTTTGCGGCATGGGGCATTAAATATATGATGAGCAGAAAGCTCTCTCGTGGACTACGGTGGAAGAGAAGAGGGGTATGAACCTCTTTGACCTTTCCCGAGGTGCTCTTCCTCAAAATTGCGGTGGAAATATAAGTCCAACCTCCTTGAGGCTCTTGACAACTAATTCTTCCGTGAAATTCATGGTACAAAACAACAACAAATGGACAACTTTGTTGTCCAACAACAACAACAAAGTCTTTAGGAATTTGACACTAGCTTCTAAATACAGTAAAATCTAACAATGTTATAACAATGAATCTGGATAATCCCTTTGACATAGAGTATGTGAATAAATTAATCTGGTGGCGTAACTCATGCTTCATATTTTTATATTCCTACTATCAGCGCACACTCTCCTTATGTCTTGTTAAAATTTTCAGTAGTTAATAAAATACTTTTTATTCATCCACTCAAGTTCAGATATATTTTTTAAACTTGTAGTGGATGACACTTGATGTTAATATAGTTTTTTCACATATTAAATTTTTTTAAAAATTCGTAAAATTTTTAAAAAAAATCGTTAAAATTTTTAAAAAATTTTTAACTTAATTTTTTTTGTATTTTTGAAATTTTTCTTTGTTGACCTAAGTAGGAATTGACCTAAAAAATTTATTATATTACTTGTTAAATTTCTGTTTCATATAGTTATTTTCTTTTAAAATTCACTAACATTCTATTTTATTTTGATGTTACACATTATCGTTTAAATTAGCCACCTTCCACAGGAAGATAGATGGATTATTGTTCTTTGTGCTCTAATTTTTATATTTACGGAGTTCATAATGAAAACGCTCAGTATTGGGGAAAAATATACCTATCACAATGCATACCGATTTTCATCTCTTGCACGATGTTATTTAAATTGACAAGCAAACGCTCAAATGAAGAAAATCAGATCACTGACGGAAAGTGCCTCAGGTGATACTTTGTTTCATTTTGGCTTCATCTTTCACTGACAACAAAAAACGAAAATTCAAAATTAAGGAATTGCTCGATTAGACGGCAAAAAGACGAAAAAAAAAAAAAAAAAAAAAAAAAGAACTTGAAGTGAACGGCCTGCATCTGGAAAAGGAAGAGGGTAAATGGAAACGACAATGAACTTAACCACATGCATGTAGCTTTATTTACCATGTCGACCGTGAACGCCTTTACTTATAATTTCCTCTTGCGATCCTCTTTATTTTTAAATAGCGGTACAGAAAAAAAAAAAAAAAAAAAAAATGGTAGTGCCTCTAAAAAGAGATGCTGACAGCTGGTACGCCTGGAACGAACAGCAGAGCCATGGAGAAATCATTTTCGTTTAGGAAGTTTTTTTATGCTCATCTTGTTGCCGATTTGTTGCATTTTTAATACTTCAGAAAGAAGATAAATCGTGATGCTGAAACAGTTATGAAAATATGCAGCTGTTCAAATGCATTGGTTTATTTTTAACTACAGTATGCCCCACTTAATGTGATTATATCTGCCCTCATCTATTTTGATAAAGTTAACCGGTAAGATAAAAGTACCTTTCAAAGCAGCAATGGAATTCAGCTAATTGAATATAAATGCCACAAAAAATATATAAAAATACTTTCGCAGAGTGTTTATTAATAAAATGCAAAAACTTGTTTAAGAATTATTCATAAAATCGTTAACTCATAGTTTAAATTTGAATTTTTCAAAAATTTTCTGGATCAATATTATATCTCTAATCTTAATACTCGGTGAATATCCCTCATTTGCTTTAAGAGAATTGTTTTAGGACCAGAAGTGGAGGGACCTAATAGTTGATTTCTATGAAGGAACGCTCAATTACCACCATGCCTTCTCCGGGATTCGAACTCGAGCACTTCGGTATTGCAGTAGACCCCATAACCACTGCACCGTCTGGGCGTCACTTTATGACAGCATGCAAATGTAAAATTTAAAATTAAGCGAAAAAGCAACCTACGTTTGTCGAAAATTTTTTCAATAAATTATCGAAAAATCAGTCTAAGTTTGTCGGAAAGTTCTCCTTTCACTGGAAGATTACATGGAAACGTAAAATTTAAGATAAGGCGCAAAAGCAATCTAAGTTTCTTGGAGATTTATTTAAAAGCATATTCTTTTCTTTCTTTTTCTTTTCCTTTTTTTTAAAGGAACAAGGGAAAGAAATTCTACGGAAATTTTTCTTCTGAAAAAAGCCCGTGTCTGATCATCCTCAAAATCAAAGTTATCCAAATCAAAAACAAACTAAGATTACCTTTTTTGGTTAATATTAAAGTGTTGATTAAAATAGAAAGCGAACTGTTTGGCAACATAATGCTTTATTTGGCGACATTTTTTTATTCTTGGGAATTTTTATAATCTATTTTTACCTTATATTGTAGAATCATTAGGATTTTTGAAGCAGGAAACACGAAAAATGAGCAATGCCTTCGCCGGGACTCGAACCTGGACCTCTCGAATACATCACCCTATAATACCTTATAATTTGGCAAGTTTATTTCTTATGAGTTCAAAAGTGCTTTGTGCCTGAAGAACTATTGTTTTCGTTTTGCGATTTTGTGTCCGAATCCTATGAACGGCGTAGCACTTTTCAAATCGTTGCCACCAAATAAAATCGCCCTGTATTATATTTAAAGAAATTAAATAATGAAAAATCTGCATAAATATACGTATGTTCCTCGCATTGTGATAAAACAACGGTACCTAAAGCCATCCAGTTTTGAATGACGTAATCCTATTGAGAATATAGGCATCTAAAAGCCCAAATTTGAAATTTGGATATTGTTTTATTATCGATTTCATATTTTGTAAACCTTTAACGAATTTTTTATTAACAAAGTCAACGATTTAAAAGCGAACAGTGACAACACTGTACGGGGGAAAAAACCTTTTTATCCCCAGAGCGCGAGTGTATCGGAAATTCTAAAGATATGCTCATTTTAAAATTATTTTACGATATTGCTGTTGAACTGAATTTTATGGTTTAACAACAAAGAACATGATATTTAATAAGTAAAGGTAACACACAATACGTTAAAAAATGCCCTTTGGACGTAATTTAAAATCCGAAATCTTTCAGATTTTTTCTTCTTTTTTTTTTCGCTTTTAGTTGAATTCAAAAAAAAAAAAAAATATTCAGTAATACTTTGATAACATTAACCGATTTATTGATCACAATGAGTGAGATATTTTCCATATTTTCGTATACAAATCTAATTTCCCAATTCCTCCCCCTCAGCTGCCAAAGCGCAAATGAAAGTATCTTAAAATTGTATCTTAAGATACTTAGTGTCGAAAGAAAATTTGCCAAATCAAGGGACAATTGAAAAATCACTTAAATGTTCAGTATCAACTGTAAATACAGTGATAATGCTGGTTTTAATCATAAAAAGGTGAAAAACCGTAATGTGCATCGTCTTTCTGCAGGATATACTGACGAAGGCAGAGCTTGCTTTACAATTCTGTATGAGAAACAACTATTCAAATAACAATGGAAAAATGACATCAAAATAGATGAATCTTGAGTGTATTCAAATGAATGCAATAAAAGGATATCCATTTCGTATCGTCAAAGAGGAGAAAAATCTTAAAACATAGTTCAAACAATCTAAAGAAATGTTTTCAAAGAGATTAATGATTGTTGCTGGTTTTTCCTATAACGGCAAATTCAAAATGAAGATAGTGCTGAAAAATATTAAGATCATCTCCACATATATCAGGAACAAACCCATCAGGAAAATATACGATACTCAGTTTTCAAATATGAAATCCCTACTCTTTTTCCCTAATGCCATCAGTCAGTAGAACTACATCAAGACAAAGCAAGTAGCCATACATCAAAATCCAGTGTTAATTACCTGGAAAGAAAGGGAAAAAGAAGCGGTTATGAAGGCCATAATCATTCATTCATATCCCTACTAAATCTCCTGGTATATGATCCATGGACTATTGCTCGTTTGGAATTTCCAAAAGCGGATTTATCCAGATGTCAACCTACAACTCTCGTTGGACTTTGGAAAGCTGTCGAAGAGGAATGGGATAAAATATTTCTTCCGATATTAAAAGAGGATTTTTATTGTCTTGGAAACTACAGTGTATGAAGATACTGAAGATTGAGTATTGTTAAATAGGCCATTTAAAATAAAAAAATTTGAAGTAAGATATTTCTGTGAATGCAATGAAAATCGTCTAAAAATATACGAACAGCCTTTGTACTTTTGGATGGTAGATTTTAAAAAAAAGCTGTTAAAAATTGAGCGATTTTTCGGATATCATTAAAAATGAATTTAAAGGTATAAAGTTCATTTAAAAGATTTCTTTCCGCTCTTGGTGAAAACATTCAATATCTGAAATTTTTGGTTAGTGAGAATATGTCTATATATGTAAGTGAGAATATGTCCGAAAAATCGCCAAACTCGTTTTCAAATTAATCGAAAAAAATATGTATAAAGTGAATTTTGTAAACGTCTTTCCAATGCGCACATTTGCATCATTTGGACAAAGTATTTTCCAAACTCACTTTAAACATACTGGCTTTAAAATAATGCAGATGATAAATCAAGATGCAGTCAATAAACTGACTGATTAATCTACATTCGAACTGAAACCTAACTAAATAAAGCAAATTTGCTTGTTTTACTTTATGATAGGACATTCGTTTAAATTTTTAAAATAATCTCATACGAACTTCTAGTAACAGATATGTAATCTTATACTGTTCAACAGCTCTTTCTAAGATAATTTCAATTTGATTGAACGGCAAAATAGAATTATTTTGATGATTGCGGGATGACGAACCTTTGCACCAACAGCAGTTTTGCCAAACTTTTAACTTGAAACTTGAATATACAAAACGAAAGTTACAAAATATAGTAAAAGCAATGAAATATTCTAAATGTTGAAGTATTTTGGGAAAAGATAGAACCTTACCGATTTGAAGAAAGAAATCTGGACTGGGTCTTCAACTGAGTGGTTGGTTATACGTTCTGATTTCGCAACAGCTTTTCGAAAGCTTATATAGAAGAATCAGAAATCCATACCACTTCTGGATGGATTATTTGACTCTATATAATTTTAATTTAATTTTAAGTTATTGTTTTTCCCTAAGTATTAATATATTTTTTTATTTTTTAAATATGCCGGTTGATGAAATGGCGCGCGAAGTTCTGAAAATGATTTTTTTTTAAACGCAGCCATATTGACTGAAAAGCTTGAGCAGTAATTTAAATTTTATTGATGCAACATTAAAAAACCATTAATCGATGTGATGTATACACACAGCAGCGTCATGAGAAGGAAATATTTTTTTCAGCAACAACTGCGTAGTTTGTTTTTTATAATTTTTATTTTTAACTGGTATCTTTGGGTTATTTGCTACAAGCGAAGAATTTCGCCAAGTTACTTAAAATAACTTTTGTTCAAGGAAACGAATATGCATTCCCGCAATCATAAGTGGACAGACAGTATCAGTGTTTTTATTTACGTATATGAAGGGCAATTTAAGAATCACCTTTAAAATAAAAAAAAGTAAATTAAGGTAAGCATGCCATGCCGCTTATTACCTTGTCTCAAACGAAAGCTATTTCGTGCATATTATATCGCACTTTCCCTTTTTTTGCTGCGTATTTTTCCTTGAGTCTGAAGTCCCATCTGTAAGGGAAAAAAAGCCTTTGATGAAAGTGAAATGCTGGTAAAAATAACATGTGTACCTGATTGTATATAGTCACGACACAGAGTGTTTTTTTTTTAATAACCGAGCACTTATCGATCACGACAGAGTGAAAGAACACTCCAGCCCCTCTTAGAAAAAAATTGCAAAAGCGAAAATTATATTAAATTAATTTTATAAACAGCTGCAGATTTTTAACTCAAAGGGGCAATTTGCCCAGAAGGGCTATCAATTTCTTTTTGGCATTTGGCGTTGATTTACTATATACAGCGAATCACTTTTAAAGTTGTTGCCACCAAATACTAAATCCCTGTAGTATATTTGACATTAAATAATGAAGAATCTGCATAAATGTAGCTATGTTTCTCGCATGGTAATAAAACAACGGTACCTAGAGCCATCAAATTTTGAATAACGTACGTCTGCACCCGAATATGAGTATCAGGAAGCCCAAAATTTGGAATTTGGAATTTGTTTTATTATATATTTCAAATTTCGTAAAGCATTTATGGTTTTTGACTAAGAAATTCAACGATTTCAAAGCGAGCAATGGCAACACTTTTACGAAAAAAAAAAAAAAAAAAAAAAAAAAAATTATCTCCAGTGCGAGAGACTTTTTATGGGAAATTCTAAAGATATGCTCTTTCAAATATTCTGTGATATTGCTGTTGAATTGAATTTTATGGTTCAAGTGCGGAGAACATGATATTTAATAAATCAATGTAATACACAAAACGTTAAAAAAACGTCCCTTTGGGTGTAATATAAAATCTGAGTTTTTTTATTGTTCATAATATTTTTACTCTGTTACTTACATTGTACTTACTTATTCATTAATTAACTTATACCCTAATTTTATTATTCATTAATTATTGATTAATTATTGAAAGCATTTATGAGTTTTTCTCGTTTACTTTCGCTTAAATCTCATCAGTAGCGAAAACGGTTATTTGCCCTGAAGGAAAATTGTTTTCGTTTTGCGATTTTGCGTTGAAAACTTTAAAAGGCTGTATCACGTTTCAAATCGTTGCCACCAAATATCATCGCCCTGTATTATATCTGAAGAAATTAAATAATGATGAATCTGCATAAATGTACATGTGCTTCTCACAAAGTGATAAAACAAAGGTATCTAGAGCCATCAAAATTTGACTAACGTAATCTTCCATAGAATATGGGCATGTGGAAGCCCTAATTTGAATTTGAAATTTGTTTTATTATTGATTTCGTATTTTATAACAATTCAACGAATTTTTTATTAAAAAAAACTAAACGATTTCAAAACGAGCAATAGCAAAGTTGTACAGAGAAAACATTTTTATCTCCAGCGCGTGAGACTGCGTATCGAAAATTCTAAAGATATTTCCAATTTAAAATTATTTTACGATATTGTTCTTGAACTGAATTTTATGTTTTAAGTGCAAAGAACAGGATATTTAATAAATAAAGGTAACACAAAAAATTTTAGAAAAACGCCCCTTTGGACGTAATTTAAAATCTGAAACCTTTCAGATTTTCTTTTTTTATTAGTTACTGAATTTTCAACACAAGGTAAACTTTTTTGAGCATATAACATTCCTTACTTTCGTATGAACGGTACATTATATGATAAATATCCGTAATATATGTTAAAGCTCTTTCAAATAGAAAATATTCTCTTTATATTGAAGTAAATATGAGGTTTTTGTGGAAGTGTTGTAAGGCATTTTTCCCCTCCTTTCTGCGTGCCTTCGTGGTGTAATGGTTAGCACACTCGGCGCGTATTCGTAAGGTCCATGTTCGAGTCCCGCTGAGGGCACTACACGTTTTTCATGTCTCCTCCTTCAAAACTCCTAATGTCTCTACAGCCTCAATTGTTCTTGCAAAAGGCATTGGCTATACATCAAGCAAACAGTAAAGGTAGAGTTCATTTGCAGTTTTTCTTAAATTTTCTAAATTTTTATTCCTTAACCTACGAAGTTTAAAACACAGTTCCCACGTAAAACTCTAATCAGTTATGATATTATTGCGTGCGCACCGGTTCGTTAGGAATTGAATGCACAAGTCCGATGAAAAATCAGTAAGATTTATTATTATCACAAATAAATAAAACAAAATACTTAAATTTTCTCAGATATTCGTACAATATTACAATACATCACAGTAGTTATCTTTTAACTACTCAAACGTTCAACAGAACTTAATTCAAAACAGCTAGAGAAAGCTAATCCGCGAGTTCGCTACAATTCAACAAGAGCAGTTTTCTAAACAAATTCGTAAAACAACAACTAATTAAATAACAACTACGATTGGATGGGTTGGATTATTTAATTATGGCAAAGCACACTAGAGCTATCTGCCTAAGGGGAGGGATGCCTTCGTGGAGGACTTTCTAAGGGAAACTGGCTCGTATACACGTTACACATGGGGAAAACCACGAAAACTCTCCTGCAGCCAGCCCGTTCGCGGGATTCGAACCTCGGACCGAACTACCAGTGTTCAGCGTCTTTACCGCTCGGCCGCTGGTGGGCCCTAACAACTACGAACTGAGAGGTTTTCATGCCGCTTATACAGGGTGGCCCAGAAGTCACTTTACATTTTTGAAAATTAAATAACATTTTCTTAAATGACTGTATTTAATTAATTCTTTTTTATTTTTTGCTTATTCACATGTCCATGCAAATGGAAATGAGCTTCACCTCCCATGATCAACTTGTGAATAAACTCATTGTCATTTCTTGCAGTTCTCTGAAACCTGACAGCATAATTTACTCGTTTCTGAAAGTCTGCTGGTTTTTTAAAGATTGCACTAATTGAACCTTGAAAACGCGTCGCTAAGTTCCTTATTGCAGGCCTACTAGGGGGATGTCGAACATTAAAATGGCGCATATATTGCGTTGCAACAATTGACCGTCCATTTTTCAAAGTAAAATTCAATTATCTTCACTCGTTGTTCTGTTGTAAACTTATCCATGCCAAAAATTTCCAGGGATTATATTTTTTAATTCTGAAAAGAGAAAAAGAAATATATTAATAGAAAAAAAAGTTATTTAATTTTCAAAATGTAAAGTGACTTCTGGGCCACCCTGTATAAGCTTTTTTAAATGCGCAAGAAACTTCTAACACTTTCTGAAAATCAAAAGACATATTTATTTATTTAATGTTACATGCACGTGCTCTTGTATTTTTAATTTTTCCGGCTTAGCTTTCTCATAATATTCGTCACGCGCTGCATTGCACAGGGATAAAACAATTTAATTTATAATTCTACTAACATTAAACTATTTAAATGCCAAATCCGTAACTATATGCTTAGAAGAAGAACTTCGTCTGTAAAATATAAAGTAAAGTGACTTTTAAACTTTTATTTTCTGAAAATAAAAAGAAGATGACATTTTTTAAGATAAAATTTACTACTTGATTAAATATTGCTTTCTTGAAATTAACCACTTTGCATTTTCGTAAGAATTAGGCAAAATAATACCGTACTTTTTCCTACACTGTAGCGGTTCTCTACCATTTGACTAACATGTACCATCTAAAAAAAAATTGAAAACCTTTAGTACCAAAGTACTACTACCACCACCACTCTTCAACAAAACTTAGATCACTTAAATTCACGAGTGTAAGAGAAAACAGTCAATCAGGATGTTGGGATTTTAATTTTTGAATTTAATTGTTAAAAATACTTTGCTTCTTAGCGTACCACCTATTTTTCTCTTGCGTACCACCAGCGGTACGCGTACCATCGGTTGAGAACCCCTGTATAGCGTTTTAGCGCCATGTTCTAAAAATTAAAAAAAAAACATTCGTGTAATTGTTTCCTTCCTTAATGAATTCAGAGAAAGTTTTCTTTTAAATTTTAAAACGCGTTCGTCCAATCAAAAATAATTTTCTCCTACTAAAAAATACAGCTCCTCACAAACTACCTGCGAAGGTCACGCGGAACCTTTTCTTTTAAATAGTTGAATAAATCCTTTTTTTCTAACTGTTATTTAAGCCAGCTTAATGCAAGAACCGACCCATTACGGAGACGTAAACACGACCTAATCTTCAGTCTGCGATTTCTATGAATTAGCTTCACATTTACTTTATTATTTATGGATGATTCACTCTAATTACTCAAATATGATTCGAAGCTTAAGAAATAGTGGAGACAACAATAAGTTTGAGCGAGATTCAAGTTACAGAAAAGTAGAAATGAAGATGTCTTATTAGATACTGCAATGTTAATACTACTATGTATTTTTGTTGGAATGTAGGCTTCTTTTAAATATATAATATTGCGATAATCACTAGTAGTTTATCTA